GTGGGCGGGGGGGGGGGCAGAACAAGGCATGGAGAGGAACATTATAATAGCGGAGGAGGACTGGGCATGGAGAGGGGTAGTCTGACAGTGAGGTGGGGATAAGATTCCAAGGACAGGGAGACACGGGTGGGAAACAAGGGACAGACACAGCAAGGAAAGGATACTTATTCCAAAAGGGCGTTATGACTCCATGGCAAGAAAAACTACTTCCTGCATGGGGAGTTGGAGGGAGGCTCCTTTTCAAATGCTTTTCTTTATATCCATAAGAAGCTTGTTTACAGAACTCAGTAACTCTGGCTTAAATATATACACACAAGTGAATGTCTCAAGGTGCCCACACACCTTGCGATAATCGTACGATAATCGCGGGAAATCACGCGATCGTATGATTATCGCAAGGTTTGTGGAAGGCGTGCGACCTCTGCTACTGTAAGGTCGCACAACTTTTATCTTAGGAACATGTTCGAAAACCAGCCAAACATCGTACGATTTTTGGCTGGCTTGTGGCATGTTCGCAAGATAAAAGTGCCCGTTTAGCATTGCGGTCATCGGAAGGCCGCCCCTTAGGGGGCGGGCTTGCGATCATCGCAAGTACGATCTGCCTGTCCAAGATAGGCAGATCGTATGTTTTTTTAATTACCTTACAACCATCGCAAGACAAAAGTCTTGCGATGGTTGTAAGGTGTGTGCCCAGCATCAGAGGGGTAGCTTATTCCCTTCTCTGTCTCTCTGTCTCAGGTTTCACAATGCTCTAGCATGCATGAACTAAGATAACTGCTCCCGTGCTCTGTCTTGAGAAAACCCTGAGTGCTGTATCAAGTAATAATTTTTAAAAACAAAGTGAAAAAAACATATAAAATACACCAGTTTAACCACTTTGCTAAAATTGGCCCAATCTATGATAGATTCCCTTTAATGCAAGTTCTTTGTAATTCACTGCAGAATAAACACATGCAGTTACTCATAGGGTCAGTAGGAGGGCAGGAAGGAGGGTACTCCAATGCTAGTGCTGAGTAACTTCCACTTTCCTTACCAATCACATTGATCAGACTTTTAATGAAGGTTTGATTCTGTTTTAAGGTTTTGAGAAACTTCTCAGTACTGTCATTTTTTAAAATCTGGCTTTCTGTGTATGAGACAGCAAGAAGTGCCTTTTTAGCATTGGGAAGTCAGGGTATCCCTTCAATTTGGGGTAAATTGCATCTTTTTGTATATTGTGGCCATTTCATTTCCCTCTTTTACTTCCTTTTAAGCGTTGCCAGCATGTGTGTTTAAAGATTACTGGGTTAAGGACAATATGAACTGGAGTGTATTGATGCACTGCAGCAATGCCTGCATAAAAATATAAATTACATGTAAACCCTAACTGAATAATATTTAGTTTGCTAAGGCAATGCATATCAGAAATAATTGCCAATCAAACTAATTTTTACTGCTCCTTATCCTTAAAACTGCCGATCTCCTGCAGCCTTGCAACCATCGTCTATCTATGTGCATGCACTCCAGTGATAGCTGCATGGCATTGCTCTAGATCGGCTTCCTGATGGTGACAACAGTGAAGCATGCTAGTGCAATGTGTGTCAGCACGGCCACTTGTAATCTCCATTGGAAGCCCATGTGACAACACAGGGACACATTTTGGAGACAGGGACCGAGTGAAGTTAACATATAATAGTAAGTGCTTGCACCTTCATGGCAGGACCATCAGGTATTATTTTAATGAAAGCTGCAGATATAAAAACATTGAAAGTTACTATGGAATTTAATGACCGTTTAGTAATTCTATTTGCCTTTCCAGCTCAGTCATTGGTGAATCTTGACTAACCTATTGTGAAATAGAAATACATAATTTAACTGAACGTAATTCTAATCTATTAGTGACATATTATTTTGTATGTTTTTTTTCTAAATCAAAACAGGGCAGTGCTTTGTAATGATCCGGAGATGACTCTAACACCAGTGAATATTCCAACAGACACGTTTAAACTTCGTATTGAAAAGACAGCTATCAGGCGTGTGCAAGGAGATGCTTTCCATCTACTCTCCAACCTTGAGTTTCTCTGGATGCCCTATAATTCAATTTTAAGCCTGAGTGTGGTGACATTGCGAGGCCTGCGCAAGTTGCAAGAACTTAGATTGGATGGCAATGACCTCACATCTTTTCCATGGGAAGCCCTAGCCAGCACACCCCGATTAAGACTGCTAGACTTGCACAACAATGAACTGTCATCAATACCTAAAGATGCTGCACGTTTCATAAAGAACATTACTTACCTGGATCTGTCAAGTAATAAATTAGTTACACTCCCTCAGGAACTCATTGCATCCTGGCTAAATCTCCACTCTGCATCATATTTTTCTAGTGATCACTCTACATTAATCCTTGGTAAGTACTGTCACTATATTAATATAAAGGGACCTATGAGTAACTGTTCTTATAAAGATATTTTAAACCTCTTGCTGAATGGATGAATCAGTAGAAGTGCTGAAATGCAAACTTCTTCTGGAGAAAATGATGGTTTATACTCCCTTCAGTCCTGGCCACATGTCTAAAGGCTTAGCTATTCGGTTCATGTGATTTTTAACTAGAGGAGAAGATCAGCTAGTCTGAACTCTGATGTATGCCTTCAGCAGAGATAACCTAAATAAGTGCCTAGGCCTTGTGACATGTGACAGCACTAAATGGACCCTGGCACATGATTTTCACTTGTAAAGGTATTTGTGCCCATCTGGTAATCTTTATGTATTCTTTATGTATTCAATTCACACTGTTAGCATTTGAACTAAAGTCCACCTTAATTCTTATGTTTTTTTTATGGATCTTTCAAGAAGTGTCTGATAAGTTGTATGTTATGCAAATATTAGAATAGTTTGAGAAGAATTATGAGAAGCTTGAATCTTGCTTTACTTCTCAATATTCTTCTGTAAATACATGTGTTGTTCTCAGGATTCAGTGAGGCCATAACCAGAATTTTGGAATGCTAATTAGTGCAGTGGGGGAATTTAACGCATTACTAATGCTGCTTTAATGCAATTATTTACATGCAAGGTTCTTGTCCTGTTAAACATGCACCCAAATCAGATTACTTTTAAGCATGAACGTACAAAATATATAGTACATACAGTTTTAGAATAGAGAAACAGAATGGGTTTAAGAAAGATTCTGTATAACATAATCCGTTTTTATAAAGAAGTTCTCAATTGTCAAATATGTGTCCTCTGTGTCACCAGCATATGGCAGAAGGCTCTCACCACGGTGTAGGTGACAGGGGTGCCTCATCTTTTTTAGGGCTCATATAAGTGTGACTGATTTGGTGTAGACAGCCAGCAGAATGTGACCCTTGAAGATTTCCTAGTTAATGACAGCTAACTATTCAAAATGCACTAGAATTAGGTACCAAATTGTTTAGCAGGGAGAAGATTAGAACAGGTTGAAACTTTGCATGCTCCTACATGTCACATTGGGGAACAAGCAGAAGGTTTGAACTGACAGAAAGCAGGAACTGATAACATTTCAAGTCATAACTAAAGAAATGCAAGGGTGATGTAGGAAATGTCAGAAATAAATGCAGAGTGGATAGCAGGTAAACAGATCCCATGTTTACAGAGGCAGCTGAACAAGTCCTGGATTCAGACACCTTTGATCAGGTTCTCTGATGAAACGCTCTCAGCATGAAATTCAAACTCTGTTGGTTGAAGCCAGGTGTGCAGCTGCAATGTCATTAAAGGAGAATTATGGGAAGAGTGAAATGCACTCATCCCCATAATTAGAGCCAACGTGTGACACTGAAGCTGTCACATGTCAGCTCTATAGATCGAGAACTGAGCAATAACATACCGCTGATCACTGAGTTCCCGATCTTCTCCCTCTCGATCTTCTCACTGTCAGTCACCACTTCTCGCAGGGATTTCCCCATTCCCCTATCCATTCCTCCAGCGCTCATTAGAGGGACAGATGGGAGGGGGCGGTCACAGCTGCCTCTGCCTCTGCCTCTAGAGAGGCAGAGCCATCTGTCATTCAGGTGGAGGGGTGGATCCCAACAATACTGTTGGGAACTTTCACGGACGCTGTCACTATATAGCAGGCAATAGCCCACTATATGCTGAGTTTTGGGTCACAGGAGGACATAGTAAATGTCCCTCCTGAGTTTCTCACTGTCAGTCACCACTCCTCACGGGGATTTCTCCCTCTCCCTTATCCTTTCCTCCAGTACTCATTAGAGGGACAGATAGGAGGAGGCAGTCAAAGCTGGCTATGAGTATACAAGCCCCACATACTTGGTGCAATAAAAATGAACAAAGATCACAGTCCAGCAACAGGAGTGTTTATTATGGATTCAGCAGCTAGACCTGATACTCTATGCAGAGACATTGCCACATGTTGGTGAGTCATGAGAAATTGGTAAATGATTCAGTCTGCAGCACTGACTTAAAACTAAGATAACAGATTTGAATAGACTTACCCTGATTGTGTGGTAGTCCATTAAAACTTGATCTATTGGTGTGCCTTGCATATCTAAACTCAGCATTGATTTACTACATTACAATTATCTAGCTATATACTATTATTTTATGTGCTTGAAAATCTGGTTATTAAAATGTAATGTGTCACCTACTGAGTTTCTGGCTATTTAAAATGCCGAGAGGCAGGCTGTATTGTTGTTTTATGCTCTGCACAGAATTGTGCTGATCCATACTGGCTTATTCTAATAGCTGCAATTAACCCAAATTAAAAAGAAATCCCACACGATCCCATTAAACTGAAGATGTCATTACCCTGCTATAAATAATGTACTATTTTATATTTACATAATGATAAAACCTAACCCCGGCCAACTTTTTTTTTGGATCGAGTGTGGAAGGGTTTACATTTTCTTTTACATTTTTATTGCTGTCATTGTTTCTGTTGGGAAGATTTCCCCTCACTTCCTGTCTTGCTTATGGGTAGTAGACAGAGCAGGAAGGGAGGGGACATTTCAACAACAGGGGACACGGGCAACTTTAAACAAAATGTGTGGAGGTGGAAAGGATGAGAATCTCTGTCTGATTTTAATTGATGGCTGTGTCGCTCCCCGCATCCCAGGTGACAGATGTCAGGCAGAACTGGAATGGGGCACAATCATTATTTAAAACAACTGGGATTTATTATATACTTTCTCTGGCCCCCCTGGGCATTTTTATATAGTTACATAGTTACAAAGTTACATAGTGTTTGGGGTTGAATAAAGACATAAGTCCATCAAGTCCAACCCATATAGGTCCGCACTAGGTCTCATATATAGGTCTCATTCTTAGGGATACTGGTACCCCTGTATATTACGGTCCCTCAGGAAATCATCCAAGAGTTTTTTGAACAATTCCACACTCCTGGCTGAAATCACTGCCGATGGCAGTGAGTTCCAGACCATAACCGCTCGTACTGTGAAGAACCCCCTTCGCCCCTTGTCCTGGAATTTGTTTTCCACCAATTTTAGGTGGTGGCCTCTAGTTTTTGTAACGGAGTTAATCTTAAAGAGTTTGTTGCCAATGTTTCTGTCGCCATTGAACATCTTGTACATGAAAATCATATCCCCCCTTAATCTCCTTACTTCCAACGTGAACATGTTTAAATTTAGTAGCCTTGTCTCATAGCTCTGGTCCTCCATTCCCCTAATTAGTTTAGTTGCCCTCCGCTGGACCCTCTCCAGCTCAAGGACATCCCTTCTTAATACCGGTGACCAAAACTGGACTGCGTACTCCAGATGAGGCCGAACCAATGCTCTATAAAGTGGCAAAATTATAGACTTGTCTCTGTAGTACATCCCCTTCTTAATACAGGACAAGACCCTACTTGCTTTGTTTACAGCAGCCTGGCACTGCAAACTACCCTTTAGTTTGTGGTCTACAATGACCCCCAAGTCTTTTTCTATTTCTGACTTCCCTAGTGGCATACCCATAATTGCATAACCCATTTGCTTATTTTTATTTCCAAAGTGCATTTATCGACATTAAACCTCATCTGCCATTTATTCGCCCACTCCCCTATTTTATCCAGGTCCTCCTGTAATGATAAACTGTCTAGGTCCGTTTCTAATACCCTCCCTATTTTTGTATAGTCTGCAAACACTGAAATGTGGCTATTCACACCCTCCCCGATATCATTAATAAACAGGTTAAACAATATGGGTTCCACCGCAGAACCCTGGGTCACACCGCTTATTACATTAGCCCAGTCTGAAAAGGTGCCATTTATAGATACTCTCTATATGAAATATACACTGAGTGGCCAGATTATTATGACCACCCCATCAGTACTTCGTTAGGCCACCTTTTGCCTTCAATACAGCGGCGATTCTTCTTGGCATTGACTCCATGAGATGTTGAAAGGTGATGCAAGAAATCTGACACCATGCCTGATGAATAGCACTGTCCAGTTCTGTGAGATTTGATGGTTGTGGAACCAGCTGCCTGATGGCTCTTTCAACTTCGTCCCACAAATGCTCAATTGGATTGAGATCTGGTGATCGTGGAGGCCACCTAAGCAAGGTAAAGTCTCCCTCCTGTTCTTGAAACCACTCCTGCACAATACGAGCACCGTGGCATGGCGCATTGTCTTGTTGGAAGGAGCCATCTCCATTGGGATACGCCATCAACATGATAGGATGAACTTGATCAGCAACGATACTTTGGTATGTTGTGCTATTCAGACGTTGTTCCACATGAATTAAAGGGCCCAAATCATGCCAGGAAAACATGCCCCAAACCATAACACTGCCCCACCAGCTTGAAGGGTTGTACTCCTGCATGTGGGGTGCATGCTTTCATGCTGTTTCCGCCAAGTTCTCACTCTGCCATCGGCATGATGCAACTGGAAACGTGATTCATCGGAGCACATGACTTTTTGCTCGACTGTCCAATCCTTGTGTTCCGGAGCGAATTGGAGACGTTTTATCTTGTTAACTGCAGACAGCAAAGGTGTTCGAACAGGCCCTCGGCTTCCATATCCCATACGATGCAGTGTACGGCGAACAGTGTGTTCAGAGATCATTTGAGAGGATCCCTGATTAAGATCTGCAGTAATTTAATGCACTGTTGCCCTTCTGTTGTCTTGTACCAGTCTTGCCACTCTCTGTTCTGCCCTAACAATGACTAGTCGCTGACGGCCACAATTCGCACGTTCAGACCCAGATTTTCGGCCGACAGTCCAGTCTTTAAACACTTTAACAGCAGTTGCTCTTGAACATTTACCGAAATCTGCTGTTTTGCTGATACTTGCTCCATGGCTCCGAGCGCCAACAATCATCCCACGTTCAAAGGCTGTTAAATCGCGTTGTTTACCCATATCTTCAGAAAAAAAATCACTTCTACTGTCGTGGTAAACAACCTGCTTCCCTATTTATAATGGTCTGGGCCCTCTAGCAACGTCAGCGCGAAATTATAGCTAATTATAGCTAATTTGCCTACAAACGTCAGGTGGTCATAATAATCTGGCCACTCAGTGTAGTTACCTCTGTATCATAGAGGTGTTCGCATAGACTAATTTTATATAAGGGTTTATATGGTAAATGCAAATAGTTTAAATGGTATATGCATATAACCTATATAGTTTATAGGTTATATGCATACCTTTGTGAAAAACAGTCTAATATAAGTGGGTGTGATTATATAGGCATTGTCTAATATGGGTGAACTGATGTTAGCGTGCATAGTTGTCTACCTAATTTGGAGGGACACTTTTGCGAGACAGGGTAAAAACTGTGTTGAGAGCATTGGCAGGGGCATCATCCTCTGTGCGTGGCTGACATGGGCATAGTAATGACACATCTTTCTTATATGAATGCTATATAAGCTAAAAGAGAGTTGTATAGATGAGGTACTTTTTAGCTAAGCAAGATGACTGGATGGTATGTAAAATCCGTACACAAAGAATAGGATTACGATGAAGTATACATTTTGCATACTTATGTGTGCTTGTGTGTACTGTGTTATGTTAACATCCAGAGAAAATTATATCCAGAATACATAACAAAAGAAGTAGTAGAATGTTTCTGTACAAATGTTGTAAAACTTTTTTTATATGTTCACAAAATGGCAAAATACACTTTTACTTGATGTGTTCATTTATGTTAACTCCTTCCCACTTGCAATCTGTAAATTAATGTCCTCCATGCCCCATTCTGAAGATACATTAAGATTTCCCACCTAGAGAGCCATTAACCTACAGTTTGCGTGGCTAATGGCCAGTAATCCTGGCTGTCCCTGACAGGTCAGGTTCCCACTGATAATCAGAGTTGCTCCTGATCACGAAATTACTTCTTTGACAATATTAGCCTTCAGCCTGCAGATGAACCCTGCCACCTTCATGCTGCAGAGGGATCTATAGTGCAATCTCTTTAGTAGTATAATTGTCAGATACAATTACATTATTCAAATATAATGATAGATTAAAACATTAAAAAAAGTTTATTATACATGTTTGTGCATATGTCAGCAAGAAACAGAGTCAGGTTTTTATTTAAACATTGTTCTAGTTAAAAAGACAGGATTTCCTTTAAAAAAAGCTTTAGGTATACACATTAGTAATAGTTGTTGTCAAGTTTATCAACACATGTTGTTGCTGCTTAATTTAACCTAAGCATCAATGCCCTCTGGTCACAAAAGGTTTAAAGCAAAAGTACTGTTGTCATTGCACAAACTGGAAAGCAGAATTATATTTCTTTAACACATTTTCTCGAATGTTTCAGGTTTGCAAGATAATCCTTGGTTGTGTGACTGCAGTCTGTATGAAATGGTTCATTTCCTCAACTTCCCATCTCCAGCTGTAGCATTTATAGAACCGCGCCTGAAGTGTTACTTACCACGCAGCCTTGCGGGTGTACAATTTAGTCAGGTGGAACTGCGAAAGTGTCAGAGCCCTGTTATTCACACGTCTGTGGCAAAACTCAAGACAGTCTTTGGTAGTACTGTTCTGCTACGGTGTGGTACTATGGGAATTCCAATACCTGAACTGAGCTGGAGAAGAGCTGATGGCAATCAAATTAACGGATCAGGTAGGATCACTATGAGTTTTTTTTAATTACCCCTAAAGTTATAATGTTTTGTTTTTAAATACATTTTAAAACTGTATTGTCCCTTTACTGTAACACAACTTAAAACCCAACTCTATTTTTTTTTTTTTAATTTAAAAATGTCCCTTAACGGCTTCCCAGGAAGAAAAGCAGCTAAGGCTGCAGTACTCATCTTCAGTCCAGAGCTGTAACCTATAACCTGCAGTACTTCTACAAGATGTCCTCATTATTTCATGTTAAATGAGTACCAGTGCATTCAACCCAAAAGACTGAGGACATACTGTGAGTGCAGGGCATCTTGGGCCCACCCCCTCTTTTTGCTTACATTGGATTTCCATTGCTATGCTATATTCATGGCTCAGAGAGGAAAGATAATCAACATCCTTAACATTCTGTAAACAATAGTTATCCAGTACATATATTTTTTCCACAATTACCATTTTTTAGGATTATTTTGCTTTTGTGGAAAATAAAGTACCCGTACACAGCTGAGAAGGCTCTTTTTGTCAGAATAAACTATGATCATCCTAGTTTCCTTTTGTTAAAATAGAAAGTGGAAGTAGAAACTAGGAGTTACAAAAGAGGTATGAAATGTCCCTGGTTCATATTTGGATCCACAGGTAGATTAAAAAGAGTAATTTATGGTTTATTGTATGTACCTTTCTGATGCAGTGTCAAGGACTACATGTGGAGTTTATAGAAATCATTGTATATTTTGTCATGCCATCATACCAGATTTCACCAGCAAAGTGGTTCCAAATAATAGAAATATGGCTCAAAGATAAAAAAAAAAAAAGAAAAGAAGAACAGAAGCTATGGGAAAGATTGAAGATTGCTTTCTTAAAAAAGGAAATCCTCTTTACTGTTTTGCATTTTATAAGTTCTTTTGTGTGTTTATTGATTTTGCAGTTCACCAGGAAATATCTAGTGATGGAATGAGTTGGTCCATGTTAAATTTGCCCAATGTTGCTTACAAAGATTCCGGAGAATATATCTGCAAGGCTAAAAATATTCTGGGAATGACTGAGGCGTTTATTTCCGTTTTTGTCACTGACTCCAACACAACTGATGAGCCTAATGACAGCGGTAATTACCAATACGTTTGTATGTTGAATTATGTATGGTTATGTTAAAGTTTGGCTTCTTGGCTAGAACGTAGGTGTATGCCATCACCCAAGTCAAAGACATAATCATGTTTTTAAAAACAAAAAAGTATTATACATGTGTGGCAGGAGTTCTTTGGTGTCCTTGAAGGATGCCAAAGTAAACCCTCATGTGCACGACTACAGATTTGGTAAAATCTCCCATGTGCAGATAGATATACTGAATTTTCACAGGCCTCCCCCTACATAAGTGTTTTGTCCCTGATAAATGGAGCAAAGGGGACAATTCTAAGCTGAACAATGGGATAATATATTTTATGTTGGTTTTTATATGGGTAGTACGGGATGGCTATAAGGTCCTGGTTGTTCATGAGAGAATTTAGGTTCCAGATACAGTAAGTGACTGAAAAAGTATTGGTTTTGAGAATAATTTGGGAACTCCTTCCTTTCTACATAAGTAGTGGGGGATATTGGATCCCAGGGTTAGGGTATTGATTTGCAAATTACTAAAAAAAGGGTTTTAAGCCTCAAATAAAAAAAAGAGGATCCCCCTGCAGTAACAGAAGGGTGTTGTGTCATAGATGAGTACTGGGGGAATATTGAGGGGCATATATTAGATCTCAGATAAGTAAAGGTGAGTATTTGATTTAGACGGTTTATGTGTTCTAGTTGAGTAATAGGGATTCATTCCTGGTGGTACAATGAGAGAAAGTAACTTAAAGGAGAACTATGAGATGAGTGATTTCCACTCACCTCATAGTTCTAGCCGACCTGTGACAATGAGACTGTCACAGGTCGGCTCAGTAGATCGGGAGGTGAGTGAACACATACCGGGTTCGCTCACCTCTCGATCCTGCCACGGGAGATCTCGACGTCGACGTCGGGATCCGCTCCGGCTGCAGCGTCTCAATATACCGCGAGCTGTAGCTCGCGGTATACTGAGCTTAGGGTAACGGGAGGAGGCTAGTTTGTGTCCTCCCGTTACCCTAAGGAGAACTATGGGGAAAAACACTGACCCCATAGTTCTCCTTTAAAGGGATATTATCTTGAAGGAATTATAAGAAATACTGGGTATTGCAGATGAGTAAATTGGGGGCACTGGGTGTTAAATAAGTATTAGTTTTAAGAAGTATTGGATTACAGATGGGAGTATAATGGGTCCCAGTGGTTTAGGAGGCGTTAAAAAAAATCTACTAGGTCTCAGTGGAATCATGGGGATATGGATCCTAGAGGCGCTATGGAAAGACCTAGTACCTTAGAGAAGTGTTTGGTGGGGAGGTTTGAATTTCCCACGTTAGTAATATGGTTTTGTTGGTGGGTCAGAAATTCAGGTGTGCTAGGTTCCCTACATGCATAACCGATAAAGAAATCAGTTTTAGGGGGAATTTACAGCAGCTTACTGAAAAAAGCGATGAGCAACTGAAGTACACCGTGTATTAGGTAATATACGAAGTGTTGTTGTTTTTTTTGGCTGGTTATTGGATTAGGTAATAGGCAACAGAGACAATGAGGGACACTATGGGATTCATTTTATGTTAAGTTTATTATTTTTTAAATTGTATTTTAAGTGGCCACATATCTGCAGCAGCAGCTTTAATTGCTTTCCACGTAACAGAATTCTGATCCATTGTGAACAGACAAAGGTCTCATGATTGTAGTGTGGGAACCTGCCCATTCCCTTCTGCTGCCTATGCTGTGTCTACATTACCTATTACTCATCCAGTTGTCTACTTAGAAAGCTGTACAGGCCTTTCTAGTGATGTAGCCAATATATACTGCCTCCAACAATTAAAAGCTAATAGTGAGCTTTGTACCTTTAATATAAAAGTAGGATGTCACCTAGCTTTTTAATATTAGGAGAGAGTGGCCTTTTGGAACAAAGCAAGGTGGTGAAGTAGTTGATCCATGACCTGAGGCACTTACCAGATATCTGGGTATCCCCAGGTATCAGGACCTAGTGACTGTCCTAAAAAATGGGTTATGGTTATATAATGTCCCAGATAAGTTTATATTTGGTGCCAGATGAATAATATGTGCTTACCAGTTCCAGATAACTGATGGGAGTTATTCTTTGTACATTGTGACTTGTTTAAAATATCCCATACTTATTATTCACCTAAAACCCAATATTCCAAATCATTTTAGAGTCAGGACTTTAGAGTCCAGATGAAGAAAAAAGGCCAAGTTGAGTAATGAATGGTATTGGTTTTTAAAAGAGCCAAGGGACTATTGGGCCTCCGTTTAGCAATGGTGAGCATTGGACTCTAAATTAAAATACTGAATATTAATACCAAATGAGTATTTTAATGTCAATCGCAGAAATGGGGTGTATAAAACCCTCCATGTTTGAAAATAATTCCCAGTCATTGCATTGCAATATAATGATAATGCCTGCCATTGCTGACCTCCTGGAAACAAGGAGTTTCTATATATGTTCCAAATGTATAGAAACTAGATGCAATCTAGGCATAAATTCATTGTTAGCACTTTGCTATTTACATCTTGTGCGTTGCATTTTTATTGTTTCATAAATGGTATTTGCTCAGTTAATCTCATGCTACTGAATGATTATACATTTTCTTGTGAAGTGCATACCCTTTCCTGTGAATAATGTTTGGTTTTTAAAACTATTGTTTCCTGTTATAACTGTAAAATTCATGTTATCACTTTTTGCAGGCAAATATTTATCTGCAGAAGGGAACAACGGTGTGCAGAATTTCAAATTTAGTGGTCCCCAAATTCAAGACAGTAACGTGCAGAATATGAATCCCAATTCAGTCATAAGACCAGACACCAAGGACTCCAGCAACATTTTACTGAGCTCTCCCACAAAGCAGCCAGAGACTGAGCGATTGGTAAGAGGTGTTAAAGTTATTGGTGATACTGACCACAGTGTGTCTCTTGCATGGAAAGCTCCCCTTGCTAAAAATGTAACAGTATTTAGTGTTTTATATGCAATATTTGGAGAGAGGGACATGCGGAGGATCAACGTGGAACCCGGCAAAACCAAAATTACAATAGATGGTCTGATACCACAGACAAAATACATTGCATGTGTTAGTGTGAAAGGGCTGATCCCCAAAAAGGAACAATGTGTTATCTTTTCTACTGATGAAGCTGTTAGTGCTGGTGGCACACAGAAACTGATAAATGTTGTGGTAATTAGTGTGGCCTGTGTTATTGCTGTCCCACTAACACTGGTGGTCTGCTGTGGAGCTTTGAAGCGACGGTGCAAAAAGGTATTGGTCCGAAAATCTAAAGACCTTCAGGATTCCTATGTGACATTTGAGAGTCTTTCCACCAGCAATAAAGCAAAGACAGCTGAAGGGGAATACTTGACTAGACATAATCCAGATGAATCAAATAGACTGCTCTCTGCACGATCAAGTGTAGATTCTGAAGCCATTCCAAAAACTGATGGACAGCCAAATGAATTCTTTTGCTGATGGCATTTATAGCACTTTTCCAAGCTGGAGTGTGTATGCTGGGTATCATACGAAGGAAATTTATTCACCGTGTGCCAGAATTTGGGGTATAAAAAGTAGTTAGCACATTTACGGCTATTTATACCATGCTTTAAATATAACTTTCTTCCAGGTAAGTGACCTCAAGAAATACATGTAAGTGTCTGTATCCATAGTCCCATCCATCATGAACTCCTCTTTCTTGCTAAGACTATAATTGGTTTTATCAGCTGAAATTACAATTTTGTATTTAGTGGTTTAGGTTGGTTGTCAAGTACATTTGTCAAGAAAGGTGGAGACAACTTAACCCTAACACTGGGTGACAGTAGGTATAGGTGACTAGGCCAATATTACATCATCATCATCCATTTTAATTTTATGATGAACAATTACATTTTAAAAGGAAAACTTAATAATTTAGGTTTTTAAGAACTAGCACAAAAGCTATACCAGTGAACGGTGGGTGTTACATTGAAAATAATTTATCAAAACTGGAGCAGGCAGAATCTTAAGCAGTTGCTCATAGTAACCAATCAGCTTCTATACAAAACTCACGAAGCAGCATCGCTCAAATTCCTTGCCGTTTGGTGAAACATGTTAGAGTTGGAGGAGTCTGTGTTTGTTTATTCCTGAAGTCAAAACATGCTGTAAACATTGTCCAGCTTGCGATATGAGTCGGTATGTTCTCGCAGAAACAATTGCTGCACAATCAGCTTCTATCTTTCATTTTCAAAGCTCAACTGAACAAACTGAAGAGAGATGCTGATTGGTTACTATGGGCAACTGCAAATTCCACTCAAGATGTTTTTCATGGCTTTAGTATTCAGCACCAAGGGAGTCTTCTGCATGGACTTGCAGTTTATTTCTACAAGATATACCAATTTGTAGGGCAAAATGGTAGTCGCGTGACATGCACAGAGTACAGTAGTAGCATGTCTAGTGTCAGATTGCACGGTGTAAATCTGAGCATTCTATCTTTAGTCTCATGCACCAAAACACCTAAACTCAAGGACAAACTTGACTCTGTCATCGGTTTGTTCATGGGGGTATCATTCAATACAACTTTGCATGAAGAGGTGTAAAATGTATTTTCTAAAGACATCTCCACTTTCTCTATCTGTACCGTTCAGCTGTCGGTCATTATTTTACACAAATATATATACATATATTTTGTTCAAAACCAGTTCACTGTTTTCCTAGTAAGGAACTTAGAAACTATCATTTTTGCCCATCCAATACACATGACAGTGTTTGTTTATATAGTATATAGTACACCCACCCCGTCCACACTACTGACAGTCTCTCTGTAACTGTTTAAAATTTGAAAGAAAATTATTTAGCCAACGTGCTCCCCAATGAATGGTGAAATAATGTACAAATATACATATATGCATTATATTTTATAAATATACCCCAGAGACAAAAAATAAAGCACTAACAGCAAATTTAATGTAAAACACTCAAAATTTACATGATAAGAATATTTTTTATCAACCATGTGACTGTAATTTTCATGTTTAATTGGATTCAGCTGCAAATAACTGTCCTTATTCTGTAGCTTTGTGACACTTTTGCATAGCTAAAAGGGAATGTCAGTGACTTCCTTCGCAAAGATAGTTACTGCTTAAAGTGACATTAAACCCTCAGATTTTTTAACATAAACCAATGCTGTAATGTGTGCCTTACTGTAATCCATGGTAATTTCCCTTCTCTTTGCTGCTCTTCCTTTTAAATCCTCATGTCTTCTCATGCTGGGGGAGAACTGCCCTTTGCAGCTGAGTGCCTCTTCCTGTAGTGCTGGCTCAGGTTGCAAACCTACACACAGACACCATAGGGTTGATTTACTAACCTTATAAACATGCCACGAACAAGTATACACCTCTGTAGTGTGTTCCCTCCCAGCATGATCTATTGGTGGAATCTAGACACCTTTGTAGTGTGTACACACCCAGCAGGTGCCTTGTGCAAAGCCCTGCATGAATTGCAAGGTGATGTTGTGTAAATTAGCTCTACGTTGTGTTGCTTGCGTTGATGAATGCAGGAATGTAAATGCATGAGCTAACCATTTTTGTCTAAACTGTTAAGCAGTGCATGATTTTTCCATATATGGCATTAGTGGAAATATGCTTTTAGAGACTTGCATGCCGCTATTAGAGCGGCCTGTAGCCTATGGCGCATGCTACATGACGCGCACGTACGTAAATACATAAAAACGCGCCATAACGGCATGAAAATGTGACACATTGCTCGTGTTTGGTTGATAAATACGTTTTGCTGTGTAAAAATGCACACGCACCTGGTGCGTGCGTGTGTTTAGGTTAGTAAATCACCCCCCATGTATCCATTTCAGAGACAAGGCAGTCTGCTGCAAAACAAAAGTTCTGCCCAGCATGAGAACAGATACAGATTTAAAAGGAAGAGCAGCAAAGAGAAGGGAAACTACATGGATTACAGTAAGGCACACATTACAGTATTGTTTTATGTTAAAAAATCTGAGGGTTTAATGTCACTTTAAGGTCAATTCATGTGAACAAGCTGCATTTGGACCATGTGCTTCTCTGGCACCACCAACATAATCTATCCAGAACATACAAAATAGCTCAAGACACAAACTGTTCCTTGCTGCATAAGACAAAGTACAAAAAAACTCAAAGCTGCCACTGATTTGTTTTACATGTGGTAATCACCTGATTATAGAAGCAAGCGTTACAAAGCATGCATTGCTGATGGTAGAAAAAAAAGTCTTACGCACCAAGGACTTGTTTGTGTCCTAAAAATATTCTGGATAGATGGTACATTCAGGGTGTAGGCTATTTTATAGATTACTAGACAATCTTTGCAGAAATAAGTCAAGACATATGGGAATAATATAGTGAATACATTTTTACGGCCATTGTTCACTACATGTTTACTATTTAAAAAAAAAAAAGTTTTGATGTAGATGTATGAACATTAATGTTAATGACCTGACATCCTTTTATGTATGTGTTTTGTACAGGTCAGCTATATCATCTTTTTCATGTGTCTCTGTGCAATATATACTACCACAATAAATTTTTATATTAAAGTCAATCTGCTTCTTTAATTTTTGTCAGGTTACCATTCATCATATCAAAGGATTTTTCCCACCTATAATTTACAATTTGCATTGAAATGTTGTGCTATGAGCTACACACTTAGTTCCAGTTTAACAGTATTGTTGTGTGTTAAAAACTAAGGATGAAAAAACAAAAAACATTATGTGTGGTAATAAGGAATAAATAAATCATCACACTCCTTGAAATAAGCTTGCATAGGCACAAAGAGCCTATCTTGTGCAACGAATGGGAATTGCGATATGCCATGGAGGGTAACCGCTACAACACTACAGGTCACAGACTATGTGATTTACATAGAAAAATGTATGGTGACTTAGACAAGGTTTTGAAGGTAATTCAAAATTAAGTTTACATTTCCATAACATTTTAGGCAAGGTTTTAAGTAGTACACATAGCCAAAATAAACAGCCACAAACTTCTCTTAACACACCTAATACTCCAAATCCAAATTTCGTTCTCATTGTGTGATGCAGCCCATAGATATGCAGAATTGTTAACCTAGACATGGTTTAAAAAAAAAAAATCAAACTCATACACAAGATTACACACAAACATATACAACAATTTTTACAAAATAAACCTTTAACAGTAATAGATTTGACAATCTATTAATAATGCAAAACAAATGCTGCAGCAGTACCAACAAACAAAATAATAGACAAACATTTAGACATGTGCTACTATCATCAGAAAACCAAGTAAAACAAATAACACATCTAGAAAGCCAGGTGTCAGATAAAAAATAAAATAGAGCTTGTTTCTGTCAAACGCAAATGTACAAAAAGAAGCACTCTGACAGATTTGTAAAATTACACTTGTAAAAAGAATACTACTCTATTTGTAATGTCCATTCCAAATCTTCTGTATGCCAAATGCTTCACTAACAGATAGGTGCAGCTCTTCGCTCTTATTGACATGTACATTGACATTAAGTATAGACCTAAAAGAAGGTTTTATGCAGTTGTCTGCCTGCGGTTAATCAAGCTGGGTTAAAATTATTTACACAAATCACTTGTAGAGTAGAGCTCTCCTACTAAACCTTCTGCATTGCATAGGTGAACTTACTCTTCAGCCTGTAAGTAAAGCAATGACAGACACCAATTGATAGCACTGGAAAAATAATACGTTTAAAGTTTGAGCCTTCTCAGTTATTTTATGTAATATTATAAAAATCTAGATATAGTACATTAATAACATTTGTTGCAAAAAATACTAAGGGGTCTATTCCCTAAGCTGCCATAGGCAGCCATGTGAATGACCAACCTAAAGCGAAGTGAGCCGAACGCTGTTCGGCTATTCACTTCAGGCTGGTACGGCTGATTTCAGTGTGATCGGGTTCTACTGAACTGAAGGTGTCCTGAGGCCAAAGCTAGCTACGGCTAGATCCTTTGGCTGCTTCGTGAATAGACCCCTAAGTGTTATAAGAAGAGTCTAACATTACGGGGATATTATAAATGAGACTTTCACTAAACATAAATGTTGTCATTTGAAACATAGGCCCCTACAAGATGGCTGTCAGATTAATGACTTTGGCTTTGGAATTCACAGAAAGACACTTTAAAATGCTGTATTTGAAAACAAACTGATTCAGGGGATAGAGTGTTCTTCACAGAATGTGCTATTAGGTTTTATTGCCATATCACCATTTGTGGAGACTTCATCTTGCCTACGGTGTAGGAAGTGAGGGCAATTAAAACAGAAGAAAAGGCCACAGTAATATTCGTGTTTTGCTTAGAATTACTTGTTAAGGTGCCCATACACCTGACAATTATCTGCAGATTTTCTGTGGTCAGATGGAAAAATGCAACAGATTGGCCCAGGTGGAGATTACTCCATCCACACAGTTAAGTGTAGATGGAGGAATCTGTTGCACCTTTTCCATCTGACCACAGAAAATCTGGG